AAGAGCGCTGAAGTGAACTGGGCCCAGATTTTGGTTGCGAGATAAGTGTTGTTGTCAGGCGCTCGATTGATTAATCAACTCGGTAGTTCGCATATCCTACAAAAATGTCAGAATTTCTTCATACCGCTATCAAGCTGAACATGACGTCTTCTGATTGATTGCTACTTTACCGAGTTTGTATTTTTCCGATGCATCTGATTGCGTTTATTCATTACCATCTAGTTCTGATTAAGCCCAGACTACAAATTCACCACAAGCAAGATTTATAACTCACATTGTATGGGGGACACATACCTTCGAATCATCCTCGTTAACTCTAAAACAGCCATCTTTGTTCATCAGACTTAAATTCTAAAGACATCCCACCAAATGTGCATCTAAACAACGCAGGTAAACCGTTATTTCAGGGACCTTCAAACTGCCCACGATTGACAATAAACAAATTCCAATCATCCACGTAAAACATAGTAATGCCTGTTCCTAAAAATGCAATAATCGATGTCCTTTGTAGGACTTTAATCCTTCTGGCAATTTGAAATCACATGCAAGAATACTGGCGACTCCCCATAAACACGGTTTTTGAAGGCTTGAGAAGCCGCGGTACGCGGGAATAAGAAACTTTTGCAATACAGGTAGATTTGAACTAAATTGCAGGCAGATTAGGTTCATGGTTAAGGTCATGGTAAGGGTTGAGGTTGGGGTCAGGACGAGTGTTACGATTAAGGTTTGGACGCCGGAATAAGTACCCTTACTGGAATTCAGGGCAAGGGCGCCTGCTCTACAGGGTTTCCCATTCCCGTATCTCGCCGTGAAACCTTTTATGATACTGGAAACAGACGAGTCTATGCGAACAAATGAAACCTCCTATTTGAGGGAGAAATTTGTAGGGAGAAACAGAGGAAATCACTGTATGCGTCAAGTGTTTGACCTACGTCTATGACAAGGGCGCAAATGACCTCAGAATGAACTTCTATTACCGAACATTTACTTCCTCTGTCATTATTGCGGAAACCTAGATTGTTATCTGCTGCGTATGGACGCTCTTTGGCCGTACTAAACACAGTCTAGTTTATAAAGAAGGCAACACATGAGGGATAAGGGATTTCGCCGTATTTTAACTTCCGGTAGGTTAACCATTTGGTGGAATTAGAAAAGCAAATTTCAACTTCGTTAATGCGTTGTAACGGTTGCTACTGTGAGTGCGACCTGCCAGCCAAGCCGATCCTGTTGATTTGATGACTGAACAGTCTGATGATGAACAGTCCAATCGTCAACGTCCGATCGTTAGGGATACGAACTTGGACTGTGCGGGCGTTGATCGATCACATTGCAGTGCTGGACAGAGTTGTCTTGGGAATATTCGGACCGATGTCTCATAGTCTACAATTTGTCAAACTAAACCATGGCAAAGCACAGAGAAACGCAATGTTTACGCGCAACAGATGGAAAGATTTAATGGCGAAATAGCAGGCGGTAGAGTGCGGAAAATTCTGAGCAAAATATGACCTCGTTAGGTCACTGACCTCAGGGCAGAGGCCGCGCACTGTGTACAGAGTTTACTTCTGAGAAAAGATGTTAAATCAGCACCTATGCTGACATGTCGTTTGCTCCTACGATCACGCATTTAAGAAATCCTTGTTACCTCTAGGGTTGTACAGTACGAAAAACTATTTGTGCCCGGGAAAACTGAGCTCTCTTTCTGCACTGATTTCCACACGGTTGAATAAACTAGTATGGATCACAACCCAACTGCCCGTAAGTGCGTGTGTGGAGTGGGCGGGCTAAAAAAGCGAGCAGCTGAAACTGTAAGGTAGAGAAACGAAAAAAATGCATTGATAAAATTGAATAAGAAGTAATTTTTTAGTTTTTTTGTACGTAAATTGCGCATTTAGCGAAACATATGTTACGTTTTCGTTGTTATTTTTGACGAGTGTGCAAACCGACTTAGGCGTATCCAGTAGATTCGCGAACCGCAATGCCTGCGTCAGTCGATGAGGGAGAATGTTGTGTTTGGTTTTAGGAGTTCCAGTTTTGTTAAAAGTGCGTCGTCCTTAGATCCAAGTGCTAGATGAAAGTGCTCTGTACGAGGCAGTACACCGGTATCCTAGCTGACGTCCTGCGGAGTGTATCTGGTCACGGCAAACACATTCTTCGAACATCTTCCATGTTTCTCACCGCTGACATTGCGGTGAAAAGCCACAGCAGCCGGACACTGCGGTTTGCCGGAATTCAAAACCGGTCAACCCACGGAATTCAAGGTGAGCACGACAGAGACAATAAACATAACCAACGGGACAGTAACGTGCATCGAGGCGCTGTCTGATGACTGAGGAGTTTTAGGTATGCCTGTTATGTTAATCGTTAGGGCGAAGATAGAATATGCGGCCCCATTAAGAAAACGGGAGACAAGGACTTCTGTAATATAGAATGACTGCAATGGGCGTTTTACCGAGTAGGTTAAATAAAACTGACAGATAGCTGTTTTAGGGAAACAAGGAGGAAAATCACATTTATGCCATTAGCTTGTTTAAATACACCAATAAAGCCTAAAAATGTCGTCGTGCAACTCGGAAAACCTACAGTTAATCACCGCAGACACGATTGTACTAGTACACACTCTCCACCAACACATGCGCCACGTATACAATCCCCCATATTTCCACAACATCGGCACCTCTCACAAAAGTGGAAATTGCGTTTCTCGGCTTCTTCTCCAGGTGGTTCATCTGTTGCATGTGTGATACGAGCTTGAGACTCTCACGATGCGCTAAATGCCGTTGGCTCGGAAGGTAACCAAGGTATGCTCCAACTCAATCCCGCAGTAAGCCCAATTGGGTATGTTGGTGTGCCGAGAGGCAGACCGGTGTACTGAGGGTCAGGCTGCAATGGCTCACTCTCAATATGGCCTCTACGGCAGCCTCACTCCGTGGGATCCGGGAGAGTGCGGCGACAGGCCTAGTGGTGGCTTCAGCCGCGCTAGCCGTCGCTCTCGTTGTTGTTGTTTAAAATCCTAGTCAAGTGCTCGTCGCAGAACTGGGAGTGTGGTAGTACGCCTAGATGCGTGTCCGGCCGCGCAGGCCACCTGCGTCCCCTCCCACCTCCGAGCTTCGTGACAGTGGGTCCAGATGCGGAAGAAGGAGAGAGTGCAGTAGACCCAGCGCAAGTCTACTGTCGCTATAAAATAAATTACGCGCAGGCCACCGTCCCTGCTCTCGCACTGCTGTGAAGCACGCGGTTGACGTCGCCGGTCACGACCGTCGAACACTGAAGGATAAAGTTTAAAGAGTATACCATTAAATCCGACTCTCCTGATGACCGCAACTGAAGATATAATTAAAATCGTCAACGACAATACCATGACCCTTTACCCTAAACCTAACCATAACACGTAGTTCTAACTCTCTCCCTAACCCTACCCTGACATCTAAATCTAGTCCCTAACTCCTAGCCCCCTGGACCTAACCTTAAGTCGAACATCAACCATAATTTTGACACTAGAGGGAGGCGTGACGGGGAATGAGTAACAGGTAGAGGGATTCAATTAAGTCGACCCAAATGATATAAGCATTTATTTCACATAATTAAAGACTATGTGGGACTCATCGTCACCCTCGTTATCTCCGATACTTACGATTAGCCATCGTGTCTCCATCTCATTATAATGAATGAAGTTGAAACATCGAAGGCAATTTTGTTTACCCTCGGTGACTCGGTGCTCCTGGACTGCAAGAGCGTGCGATATCGTCATGATCCAGGTCCAAATTTTGGGATTTCGACTGAGGTATAACCTGATCACTAAGTGTCCACTGTCTGGCGCTGCTTTCTTCATCGCACTTCTACTAGAGGCTTAAAAATACTTAAAGAGAATGATATCCAACCCCCGTGCTAATGTAAAAGTCATGAACAGTATTGAAAAGCCGGGAGAAGTAGTGCACTACACGAAGGCCTATGACTATACGGGTTAGTAGCTTGACTGTTTTCCAAACAGCCATCATGCCATTCCTAAGGACACTGCCTGTGTCCCAAATGGTCACACACCTGCCCGAAACTGAAACTCCCAGAGCCTGACATGACAAATTCTTCGTCCGCCTAACTATACGGGGAGCGGGGGAGCTGCACTTTTGCCATGCCTCTCGTGAGTGTGAAACAGGGTGACCTTCTCACCTGTGGTCGTTAGGACTTGTGGGTAAAGCAGGTGTAAATATGATTAATTCAGTCCGGTTCTGCTTTGCGTCTGATTAACAGGCAAATGCCAAAGGTTACTGCTCTCCTTGTAGGCGATAACAAGCACCTTAACTTCTGACCATGTTTAATGATAGGATTCGTTATTCGCCAGGAACAAAGTTTGTTTGAAATAAACGCATGGGGTTTTTCAGAAGGACACTCTAATACACGCCGTTGATTTTGTTGCTGGAATTTGAGTTCACTGCGTGCATAACTGGCGGAAGTGGGATAAGCTCTGGGCCTACAGTCCACATCAAAAGGTGTATTTGTTAAGGAAGCATATTGACGTCCTACAGTGGGCTACTCGAACATGTAATTAATGTACCTACCTAGCGTCGCGCACCCTGCAAATGTCTGTCCCAGGCGACTATTTGATAAAAAATTGTGTGCCATTACGTTGGCCGAATTTATGAGACGCGTGACCTGTCAAAAGATCCATGACTTTTCGCCTGATTAATTGCAACTAGGAATCAAACTAAAGGATAATTTATTAGTGTAGTTGAAAAGGTACGAGAACCCAGAGACTCCTGCAAAGAAATGGCAGGTGCGAAAGTCCCAGGAAGTCCCACTATACCCACTCGAGAAGGAAAATTCACGTCT